GGGTACTTGAGAACAAAGTAGCGGCTGCAAAATCTGTGAAAAAATTTGTAGCGGATAACATTGCCGCTGTCTTTAAGAAGAAGGAAGAATTCTTGGCAGCAAAGGTGGCTCATGTCACACAAGTTAAACATCTTCAAGAGCTTAAAGAAGAAATTTCTAACCTTGAAGCCAAGCTTTCAGAGTTGAGAAACCAAGTTCCTCTTGCGGAGCAAACTGAGAAGAGTTTGGCAGAACAAAGAAACAAGCTCCGCACAGACATGGAAGTTGGTTTGAAATCTACTGCCAAGATTAAGGATCAGTTGCCTTCTTTCACAGCTTCTGCAGATGAAGCTGCTGAAGAAATCAAGAACATGAGAAAAGAATGGAGTACTTGGCAAAACAACCTTTGTTGGTTTTTTCTTTTATGTATCTCCTTTTCTCTTTGTTGGCTGAAATTGCACATTGTCATGTTTGAACTTATTGTTTGCGGCCTATTGGCCACGCAAACTACCTTTTCAATGTTAATCTTTTTCTTGGCTCATATTATGGAAATTTGCTTCTTGTACTTTTTGTTCATACTCTGTTACAGGTTGAAATTTGATATGGCCAAAATCTGGCTGCTTTAGATTCTGCAGTTGTTCACAGCTAGATTTGGCCTACTTGTAGATTCGGCTCAGCACTTTTATTGAATTGAAAAATGCTTAAAACAATGAAATAAAATACTATACAAATCCTACCTCAAATCTGTCTCAGGTAGAATCAATGGTATCTGAACCCCTAGCCTCCCATATCATAGGATAGTAAGGCTTAAGGTAGATTCCATTTATTTTTTGAGGATGTAACTCTCCATTTAATGATTCAAGCCAATATGCTCCTCCTCTAAGCACTTCATGTATACGAAATGGTCCTTCCCAATTTGGAGACCATTTCCCAAATCTGGGGTCTTTCTTTCTAGGTGGCAGAATTACTTTCCATACCAGATCTCCTTTTGCCAGACTTCTGGATTTCACCCGTTTGTTGTATGATCGAGCCACTTTTAATTTCTGCGTTTGCAGCCTATCTAAGGTCGTCAATCACATACCTTCAAGGTTTTCTAACTCTAAAATCATTGCCTCATTATATTCTCCAAAAGTGAGACTATGTTGAATTGCTATACGCAATGATCTAGTAGACAACTCCATGGGCAGAACAGCATCATGTCCATAAGTTAAAGAGAAAGGAGTTACCTTGGTAGAACTCCTTTGTGAAGTTCTGTAAGCCCAGATTGTGTCAGATAACAGCTCATGCCAACGCCTTGGATTATCATCAACCATTTTTTCAAGCAGATTTATCACAATTCTATTGGAAGCTTCAGCTTAACCATTGGCCTGAGCATAATGAGGGGTTAAAGTGAGTAACCTAAACCCCATTTCTTTTGCAAACATCTCAACTTGTGCACCAATGAAAACTGTTCCCTGATCTGAAGTCACTGTTTCTGGCAAACCAAATCTGTAAATGATTTCTTCTTTAAGAAATTTAATAATATCGGTCTGGTCAACCTTCTTCATTGGCTTTGCTTCCACCCACTTGGTAAAGTAATCTGTGGCAACAATAATAAAAGAATGCCATCTAGTTGAAGGAGGATAAACTTTACTGATCAAATCTATGGCCCATCCTCGAAATGGCCATGGTTTGACGATTGGATGGAGTTCTAACACTGGAACTTTCTACAGTGGTCCATGAATCTGGCAGGCTTTGCAACCTTTAGCATAGCTGATGCAATCTTTCAAGATCGATGGCCAAAAGAATCCATGTCTGCGAATTAGTCATCTCATTTTAATTCCAGCTTGGTGCGCACCACAGATTCCGTTATGCACATCTGATATAATCTAGCAATACTCATGTGGACCAAGACAGCGCAGAAGTAATTCATCATGTCCTCTTCTATAAAGAACATCTTCCAACAGAACATAATTCAAGGCCTGCATTTTTGTTCTTCTTGAGGCCTTAAAATTTGGATTTTTTAGGTATTCCATGATCGGATAGCGCCAATCTGTCTGGGTTACGTCTATGGAACAAGCAGAAATTGCCATACCACGCATGTGAATAGATAGTAGAATTCGTTTTTCCACAACAATAATTTTGCTGATCACGCCTTTTGGGATTTTTAAGCCTGAGGCGATTTGTGCCATCTCATTTGCTTTTGTGTTCAGATCTCGAGTAACATGCCTCAAGATTACATCATCAAATTCCTCCAAGAGCTATACTGCCAAAGACAAAGTAGTGCACTTGTACTCACCTTCTAATTACTTTAAAATTAATTGTGAATCACCAATTATTTCTACCACAGGTACCTTAAGTTCTACCAACACTTCCAACCCAATAATCAATGCCTCATATTCAGCTTGGTTGTTGGTGCAATTGAAATCTAGTTGAAATGACATCTGGGTTTTCAAACCAGTTGGAGAAATAATAACAATTCCTGCCCCAGATATGGAATCTATGCTAGATCCATCAAAGATAAGCTTCTAAGGAACCAGGCTTATGGAAAATAAATTAATACCTTTTTCCTCATATTCTTCTACCTCCAGGCACGGATGATCTGCTAGGAAATTTGCCAAGGCTTGCCCCTTGACAGCTTTTTGAGGCATGTACTTCAGGTTGAATTCTGACAAAGCCAGAACCCATTTTCCAATTCTGCCTCTCAACAGTGGTCGAGACAACATATACTTTATCACATCTGTTTTTGAAATAACATAAACATCGGAATAAAGCAAATAATGTCTCAATTTTATTGCAGCAAAAAACAAAGCAAGACATAATTTTTCGACCGAAGAATATTTCACTTCAGTCTGTGACAAACTTCGACTCAAATAATAAACAGCTTGTTCTTGCTTTTTACTATTTTCTTGAGCCAGCAGACAACCTACAGATTCATCTGCGGCAGATATGTACAAAATCAGAGGTTTGCCTCTTAAAGGAGGCACTAAGACGGGCGGCTTTGATAAATAATGCTTTATTTCCTCAAAAGCGGTCTGATGGTGTCTCTCCCATTTGAAATATGCTTCTGATTTCAGCTTCAGTAGCAGCGAAAAAACTCTTGTCTTTCCTGCCAGATTTGAAATAAAACGTCTTAGAAAATTTACTTGCTCAAGGAATCTTTGTAATTCCTTCTTACTTCTTGGTGGCTGTGCTTCAATAACAGCTTTTGCCTTGTTCTGATTCACTTCTAGACCTCGCTCATGCACTAGATATCCCAGAAAATTTCCAGTAGAAATGCCAAATGCACATTTTAAAGGGTTCATCTTCAGACCATGCTTCCTCATTCTTTCAAAAGCCAGCTTTAAATGCACCAAATGCTCCTCGACCTCATTAGACTTCACAACCACATCATCAATATAAATTTTCATAAAACGACCAATCATGTCATGAAAGATGGCGTTCATGGCTCTTTGATAAGTTGCACATGCATTTTTTAAACCAAATGGCATTACCACCCATTCATGCATACCAATAGCTCCTGGGCAGTGAAAAGCGGTCTTTGGAATGTCCTTTTCTGCTATAAAAATCTGGTTGTATCCACTGTGGCCATCCATGAATGACAGAATTCGGTGGCATGCGGCACCATCCACCAATAAATCTGCAATAGGTATAGGATATTCATCTTTTGGTGTTGTCAGATTCAGATTTCTGAAGTCTATACAGATTCTCAACTTGCCATTCTTTTTAACCATGGGAACCACATTAGATAACCATTCCACATATCTGGAAGTTATGATGAAACCAACCTTCAACAGCCGCTCTATCTCTTCTTTGACTTTCAAAGTGACTTTTGGAGACATTCGTCTGGGCAGTTGTTTGAAAGGTTTAAAGTCTTCTTTAATGGGTAATCTGTGCTCCACCAGATTTCTGTCCAGACTTGGCATTTCAGAATAATCCCAAGCAAAACAATCCTTGTATTCATGCAAGATACTGATGATTTTATCACGCAAACACGGCTCAAGAGAATCGCTAATAAAAGTAATTTTCAAATCTGCCTCAGTACCCAGATTTACCTCCTCCAGGGGATCTTGTACTTCTGCCTTCAGATCGTCAAGTTTTGCTAGTGCCAGATCTAATTCCTCTAGTGTTATTTGATCCTTTGAGTCATCCTCTTCTCCTTCATAGACTACCTCAGATCTGTCTACATAGATTCGTTTTTCTGCAAGGTAGGCCGCTAATTTTCTCTTGATTTCTTCCACGGCCTCTTTTTTCTGGTGCTTAATGCGGTCCTTCTTCATGGAATTTCTTCAATTTCAGGTTCCTTCCTTAGCCTAAAAGGAACAATTGCTGTAGGGCTGTAGGCCAAAGTAGTTCATCACACATTTCCTTCACAGTCTGTCTGTCCATTGCAGATCTGGTGCAAGCAGTAATTCCAGAAGGTCTGCCATAGCAGTCCATCCCAAAGAAACGGATAATCCCAATATCTTCATCATAATAACAAGCTTCCACTGCATTGGTATTTGCCACGAACGACTTGTCATCTGTTGTCATGACTTTAGTTCTGCCGCCATTCTAGAATATCAATTTTTGATGCAGAGTTGAAGGAACACACTAGCTGGAATGTATCCAATCTCTCCTAAGCAATGCATTATAAGTGGCAATGGTGTCAACCACAAAGAATGCACACATGAGAGTTCTGTTTCCAATGGTAAGTTCTACTGGCAGAATTCCCCTTGAGCGATTTACTCCACCAGTAAAGTCACTGATTGTCACTTCTGTCTCCATTAAATCACCCAATGATTTGCCAATTTTGTGCAAAATACAAGTTGGCAAAACATTGACAGCTGCTCCATTATCAACTAGAACTCGATTTATCGGTATACCATCCAGATGTGCATGAATGTATAATGGCCTGATACGTTTGGCCATCCTCTCTTCTGGTTTTTGGAAAATGATTTTATCTGCTAAATCCATGCCACCATCTTCCTTAGCTGGGATCTCAATGACTTCTTCTTCCTTAGTCAAATCTGTCTGGTGATAGACTGTAGATTTTGACTGCTCTCTTGCTTGAAAGACCAAAGGAAGAGTGATTACCAAGCAAGATAGATTCACGAAAAACTCACCAAAATATATTACATCTAATGAATTTTTCGCTTTATCTGACACGTCAAATTTCACCTTCAAACCGATTTCTTCATTTGATTCCACAACCAGAATTCAAGGTGACGTTAGACTTCTGGGTGGTTCCTCCTTTTCTGGAGAATTTTGACTAGATGTGCTCCCATTTTCTTTACGGACCCACACTGATTTTCTTCTTGCTAGGAGCGGCTGAGCCTGATCTGCCATGCCCCCCAAGTCTGTAATCTACTGTCAGTGTCTTTCTGCTGCCCTTTTGCGTTGTAAACGCCTCCTCAAAGTCCTTGGATTCTGACCCTTAGGAAATTTTGGATGTACCACACGTTCCCACCGTTTTCTTGGAGATCTGAGTGGTGGTTTCACCATTCTGGGCTTTTCTGCGCGTCTAGATATCGTAGTTCCCTGATTTGCATTATTTTTCTGTTGAGTTGAGTTATGCCCCCTGGGCTGTCTCCTTCGATATAAGCTTGATCTGACCTGATTTCTGCGGGCCCTTACCTCCTCAATGACCCACCTCAGATCTTCAACTGCAAGTCTGCGCCTAGAGTATGACTGAGTTCTGTCTCTAGCAATGCTTCTAAGATCTGTTGCATTCACCCCAACAGACATGGTAGGGAATGGATCTGCATCAACTCCCATAGTTTCTTTGGTCTTATCTGGAAAGCGCAGAATTCCCTTATCAATTTTATCCTGTAAAACATTTCGAAAAATCACACAATCATTAGTAGAATGTTTCTAAGAATTGTGATATTTGCCAGCCATTGGGATTTTATGCCCTGACGACAACTTAATTAGACCACTCTTTTTAAGGTGGTCAAAGATTTCATTAGTCTTTGAAATGTCAAAAGTGTATTGTTTTCCAGCCTCGTTGACATAACGTTTTACTGTTTTGTCGGTCTGCTAGACCACTTTAATCAGATCTGGGCAAACAACTGGCTTGTCTGCCAACACTTCTGCCACGTCCAGATCAAAGTTAGTATCACCATAAGAAGTCCCGTGAGATGCAAATTTTTTTTGTGTGTCCTCTCGCAATAAATTTTCATAACGAGCCACCTTGTAAGACAACTCAAAGAAATCACGAAGCTCCATTCCCTCAAACTTTTTCCTTAACTCAATGTCCAAACCATTTTGTGCCAACTTGACAAATTCCTGTTCTGGCAGGGCAACTTTGCACTTAAGTCTGGCCTTCCGAAATCTCACAAGAAAGGCCTTAGATGTTTCTCCAGGTCGCTACACCAAACGAGATAAATCTGCCATGGACACTTCTGGCTCACTGCGGTAAAACTGGATATGGAAAAGGTCCTTCATCTGCCTCCAAGTATAAACTGAATTCTGTGGCAGACTCAGATACCAAGTGAGAGCTGTACTAGTTAAAGAACTAGGAAAAAGTTTGAGCTTCAGATGATCATCACCGGAGGCCTCGCCACACTGAATTGTGAAGCGGCCTATATGTTTAATTGTAGAATATCCACCATCTCCAGAAAATAAAGTGATCTGGCTGCACTGGTCCGCCTGCTACTTGCTAAATCTGGGGAGGCGACTGTGGCAGATTACCTTGCCCCCCAAGTGCTGGAGTTGGAACATTTTGATTCTGCCTTTGAAGATCTGCTGCTTGTGGCTAAGGTTCAATTCTGGCACGTCGAAATGCCTCTTGCATTCGTTCTGTTTCAGCTTGGAAAGCTCTCCAATTTTCTACATTTTGCTTGCCCCGGATTCTGACACTTTCTTCATTAGAGCGTCGCATGTCGGCTACACTTTGAGCTACACTTTGGGCCAAATTCTGAGCCAAATTTTGAAAAGACTCATCCAACTGTCTAGCAACCTCTTGGCTTCTTTGTTGAGCTCTTGCCTCAGATTCCAACTGTGTGCGCCTCATGATGCTAATCTGTTATGTCACAGCTTTCATAAGAGAATCACCAGATTGAGCAACATCATCTCCAGATTCACTATCCTTGTTGATGGTAGGATTGACAAAAGAATGCTTCCCAAGTATTGGTGACAATGGTGGTGGAATGATTGGCTCATTCTCTCCTTCTAAGTGTGCTGGACTGCCTTCACCAAGCCCAATATGTAAAGTCTGGGCAGCCTTCCCAATGTTTCTTTTTGGTGGCATATTTACGCCTTTTCTTGGAAAAAAGAACAATGGATCTGAAAACTGTAAGTAAGACACGATGAGGTCCCCCTGGGCGTGCCAAAAAAGGATTGTTTCCCCAAAAATCCTCTAGTGGCCTCACACGTGTGAAATCTGAATGCGGGTGTGCCACTTACTTTGCTGAAAGTAAGAAATGAGGACTTTCCCAATGACCCTCTCCTTCCTCACGGTCGACCTCCTTGTGGATGGTGGGAAGAACATTGGATTAAAATTGAAATTGCGCCTTCAGATGATTTGCAAGAGGGAGGGATACCTTCCTGCAGATTGGGTTACGAAATCTGCCTTGGACAACTCCAAGGACTTAAACACTACCGTGACTTAAAATTAACAAATCCTAACTGAACTAAATAACCTGCAATTTAAAGTAAATTTGCGAGAAAAAGCTGTACCCAAATTAAACTAAACATGTTCATTGTTAAATTAAAATGCTGTGTACTGGCAGATCTAGAAATTAAAATGCTGCAGAATTAAAGACTTCATCCTAATTAACTTTAAAATTAATGTGAACAGTAATTTGCCTAATGAAATGATGAAAAACAACATAATTCTACTAGAATCTATGCTCAAATTCAAAATTTGGGAGCAGATTGCAGAGAAAATAAAGTCTAAAAATTTGCAGATGTTTGAGTAGGGCTGGCCGTGTGTTCTCCTTTGCAAAAATTTCCTTTTTGTTTTCCTTGTGCCGGCAGTAACTTCCACTTTCTGCAGTTACTCAATCATGGGTGGTTCCTTGAAGTAGTGGGATAACTCACCTTTTGACATGGTCTAATCTCCTTGCAGATTTCGCCACCTGTACTCTTATCAGATAAAACCCCCTTTTTAACTGCAATCTTCTCCTATTTTTCAGTTCCCATTATCCCTTTCTGTCTCAAGAAGATAATTACTCCATAAAAAATTATCTTTACCTCTCCTCTTTTGCCAACACAAGTGCTGATCTGTCATGGGGCCCAGAATCCAAATTTGACATGGCTCAATCTCCTACAACCAATAAAAAATATTTTACATGTGGCATTAATTTAAAATTTTACAATTTATGGTGTAAACAATACTATAATAAGATAAGAAAATAATATAAGTTCAGGCCATATTTGTCAACATATGGCTATATTAATGAATAGAGATATGGTTAACATAGTATTCTATTGTATATAAGAATTTTTCACTAAAAAACTTGCCCTTCATTTTTTTAATTAATTTATATTAATAAAATGAAAAAATATAGTATAATTTAAATTATATTAAATATATTATATTAAATATTAAATAAAAAACTCCCAAATATCAAGAATTCTTTTCTTTATTTAATAATTTTTATTTAATTATACTTATTTTATAATATCATCGTAATCCAACAGTAAAACAAAATTCCCTTGATGTGAACAAAAATAAACTATTCTTTTCTCATAACAAAATAATAAATAAACAAAACAAAAATATATTTTTTAAAAAATAAAAGTAAACAAAGAAAAAGTATCTTCTCTCAAATAAAAAAAAAGAATTATCCAAAATAACCTTTTCCCCACACTGTATTTTTTTCCTATTGACGCTTGACTCGTCCTTTCTTTTCCTGCAACAATTCCTTCTCCACCCCCGCTCTTTTTTTTGTCTTTTTCTTATTCTATCATTTCCTCAGTAACTCTTTGATATTTCTTTGATTTCATGACCTTTTAGTCTTCAGCTACGATGTCATCTTCTATAATTGCATCAAACCCGAAGTTTTTCTTCAGTTCGTGTCTTCACTTCGAATGAACCTGTGAAGCCCCGAGGACCCACCTCGGGGTATACACTCTGATACTTAAGTCAGCAATAATCGGATCTACCTTTTTAGAATAATTAAAGAAGAGCTTTAGGTCAGTTTCAATTAACTTTTTGAGGTGGCCCCTGGGGGGTATTTATAGGCCTTAGTAAGGTGTCCACGTGGCTTGCTTAACAAGATAATCGGAGTGTGACGTGTCCTTTCAGGCAATAATTTCAGGACCGAGAAATTGTATGTGGTAAATCCGGTGTGGGCATGTCCACTGTATTTATCATGCAGCCATTTGATGGGGAAGTGTTGGATTTAACTTCACCTCGGTTATTAAGGGCTTGTTGCAGTACGTCCAAGGTTCAGGACCTCGAACCTATCCTTACACTATTCCCCACTCAAAGTCATTCACTTGTGAATGATATTGTGCAAGGTGGTAGGAGTAATGTATAATTAGGTGAAAAGAGGAATGACAGAATATTAGAGTTGAGTTACTAGAGTCACAGTTAAAAATGGAAATTGGTAACTCAAATATATTTATGTCTGTAACTAAAGTAAAAAATGTGGTACGGGGTTACCACGGCCAGAGCCGAAGTAACATGTGTGACACAGGGTCACTATGACCGGAGCCGAAGTAAAATATATGACGCGCAGACACTATAGCCAAAGCCGAAGTAGAATATGTGACGCGGGGTCACAATGGTCAGAGCCGAAGTAACATGTGTGACACGGGGTCACTATGGCCGGAGCCGAAGGAAAATATGTGACGCGGAGTCACTATGGCTAGAGCCGAGGTAAAATATGTGATGCGGAGTCACTATGACCAGAGCCAAGGTAAAATACGTGACGCAGAGTCACTATGACCGGAGTCGAAGTAACAAGCGATGACCGTAGTCATTGTGGCCAAAGTCGAGGTAACAAGTGATGACCGTAGTCATTGTGGCCGGAGTAGAGGTGAAACACTTGTAAAGTTAAAAAATGTTATTGTGAAAGTAAACAGAAGTGCTAAGTTGGGCTTAGTTGGGCTCGTTAAAAAAGTCTGACGTAGAGTTAATGCGTGGCATGATAGCTGTCTGTTGAAAGACGTGTATAATAAATACGAGTTGTACAAAAGTAACTGTTATAGTTAAGCGGACGGGATGGAAAACGAACCGTCAAATTCGAGAGATTTCCATTAGGGATTAACTGTCGAATTTGAAATGGCGTAACCATGACCGTCAGATGAAATTAATCAAAGCCGTTAAGGTGTATATTTCCTTTGGTATATATAGCTATACTTCTATAAAAAGACTTTTACTTTCTCCTTATTTGCTACCGAAGTGCTGCCAAGATCTCTACAGTGTTTGTGTGAGTGACTCGTGTGTTACATTTTCGACTTCAAAACTCGTTCTGCACTATCGAAATCAGGTAACTTATGAAATTTTGTGATTCAAGTTCTAGTGGTGAATTTTATTCTCTTCTCACCCTTTCTGAATTAGATTTAAGCCCTCTTAAAGAAGTTAGGGTTAAGAGTGAGAGTAATATTGGGCGTGAGTTAGAGTTTTTTGAAGATCCTGACTACATCCCTCCCCCTACTTTGTGCAGTGAAAGTTACGAGACTAAGGAGATGTCTTCTAAGGAAACATTGAGCATTGGGGGGAGTGATGAAGTAAGGATGCTGGAGTATAGTGATGTAAGTGTTGAGGGTGGGTCGTCTGGGTCTGAGTGTACAGAGGGAGGGGTAGGTAGAAATGAAGTTGTTGAGGTTGAGGCAGAAGAGGTGCCTACCAATATATTGGAAGTGGGAGATAGGAATAATAAGTTTTACGATAGTGGGGCAGACATTGTGTCTGAGGTAACGGAGTATGAGTCTAAGCTCAGGAGTAGGGATAGCCTGAGTTATCTCGTAGAGACTTACGAGATTTCTTCTAGAGTATTAATTAGGCCTGCTGGAGTGAAAGAAAGGGCATGCTCTGCACCCCAAGATCATTGGATGCTAGTGTATGCCCATTATTTGGCAGCAGGGCCTAGGTTTCCGTTGCCTGATTTGTTGGTGTGGCTGTTGTTGGAGTATAGTGTAGATTTGACCCAATTATCTCCCAATGCAGTGAGAGTGATAATTGGGTTCATAGTATATTGCCGGGCTAAGGGGGTTAAGGTGCCCACACTAAGTATGTTTAAGCACTTTTTTGTGCTGAAGGCTGGGAGTAAGAAGGAGAAGGGGTGGTACTACTTTACACCTCGGTCGTCTAACAAAAAGAAGAGAAACATGTTTAGTGTGGGGCATTCCTCCATTAAGGGATGGAAGGAAAAATTTTTCTTTGTTGATGACACCAAGTGGGAGAGGGGAGATGGGGAAGTTGAGTTTTTGTCTACTTGGAAGACTAGAAAAAGCCAACCAGAATAAGTATAGTCTAAATACTGATGAGGAAGAAGAAGTAGAGAAGCTGGTGAGAAAAGAGGGTGATATAATAGACATTATGTTTCTCACCAGCTCAGATGTTATAGAAGCAGTTGAGCTTTATGGGCTGAGCTCAATGAGCGAAGATATGTTTGTATCTTGTGTGATGTGTGTCAGAGTTTAGTTTTGATTTGTGGATTTTAACGGTATTGTTGTTTTGCAGCTGAAATGGACAAATTTTTTGGTGCTGCTAGTGGGGTGGCTATTCCCAAAAAGCCAAGGAAGAAGTCCAAGACTTTGGAAAAGGCTACGAGTGGGAAAGGAGATGGGAACATGGAAAAAGGACAGATGTTAAGTACAGAAGTTTGAACTGCAGAGGAGGTGGAGCTGAGGTCCAAATGGAAGAGGAATGAAGTGGATCAAGCTCAAAAGAAGAAGAGGAGAGTGGAGGATGAGGTTAAGGGGGACGAGGTAGTGGAATTCATACCTCGGCCTACTCTTGTTGAGCTTGATCCAGATCTCAAAGAAACCGAGGTTCCTGCCCCTGGCAAGGGTAAAGCAGTTGTTCCCACTCCTTCTCTCCAGAGCAGCATTTTTGGGAACAAGAACTTCTCCATGGCAAAAAATTTCATCAACGCCTATGTGCCTGAGGTGGATCACCGTAAAGCAAGGGATGAAGCCTTGGTACATGGAGGGACCTCAGTTGTGAGGCATGCTCTGGAGGTAAGTTTAGTGATTATAACTGTTGTATGTT